CTAAAGTGAGGTCGAGGTAACCGTCGTGGCGTATATAAGTATTACGGTAGTTATCGTACAGCAGTCGTACGTTATGAGACGTTGGTCGTAATATCTGGTCATTTATACAGCGGCGGCTTTCTTATTGTTGTTGCATATGTTGTTGAACCGTATATATTGGGACAAACGTAGAATATGTAAGAATAAGAAGGAGTATCTTCACAATACAAGAGATGCATTTAACCGGTTTCGAATATGTCTTCATCGGAAGTACTGTAAACACGTCTGGCGAAGATATATTCGAAACCGGTTAAATGCATTTCTTGTACTGTGAAGATACTCATACTTTTTCTACGTTTGTGTTGCTGGAGTAAATGTTGTTATTGCTCCTCATTCAGTTCTTGTTTTTATTATTATTAAATTCATTATTATTATTATTTTTACATTCTTTTTTTGGCTTGGTCACCAGGATTATGCGAAAAGTTGATTCCGATGATCATTAATCGTCTGACTGCCTATGACCTGGAGACAACGGTTTACTAATTTTAATATTAATTCATTTAATCATATAGATATTATTAGATGGATATACGCTTAAAAGATTATCAATGAATGGCTGAACGCAACATCAGCAACCTGTCAGTTAACAAATAATTATCATCAAAATGTTAAATGTCAAACAAGTACCACGACCCTGTTAGTCCTTACTAACATGTTGGTCATCATTATTAGTTATCAAAGTCATCACTAGTCATCATCACTACCTGCAAGTCATCACTAACTTGTCAGTCATGTGTCAGTCAACTAACCTGTAAGTCAAGACGCAGTCATCACTAACTGTCAGTCAGCTGCAAGTCAGTCAGTCACACTAACCTGCAAGTCAGTCAGTCATCACTAACCTGTCAGTCAACACTAACCTGTCATCAGTCAGTCATCACTAACCTGTTAACCTGCAAGTCATCATAACATCATCACTAACTGTAAGTCATCACCAACCTGTCATCACTAACATGTCAGTCATCACTAACCTGCAAGTCATCACTAACCTGTAAGTCATTACTAACCTACAGGTTAGTGATGTCATCACTAATCTGTAAGTCATCACTAACCTGTCAGTCACTAACCTGCAAGTCATCACTAACCTGTCAGTCATCACTAACCTGCAAGTCATCACTAAACAGTCATCACTAACCTGTCAGTCACTAGTCATCACTCCATGTTGTCATCACTAACCTGTAAGTCATCACTAACCTGTCAGTCATCACTAACCTACAGGTTAGTGATGTCATCACTAATCTGTAAGTCATCACTAACCTGTCAGTCATCACTAACCTCATCACTAACCTGTTAGTCATCACTAACCTGTCAGTCATCACTAACCTCTCAGTCATCACTAACCTACAGGTAGTGATGTCATCACTAACCTGCAAGTCATCACTAACCTGTCAGTCATCACTAACCTGTCAGTCATCACTAACCTCTCAGTCATCAAACCTTTAATGTCATCACTAACCTGCAATCAGTCACCATTAACCTGTCATCACTAACCTGTCAGTCATCACTAACCTGTCAGTCATCACTAACCTGTCAGTCATCACTAACCTGTCAGTCATCACTAACCTATCACTAACCGTCAGTCATCACTAACTGTCAGTCATCACTAACCTGTCAGTTCATCACTAACCTGTCAGTCATCACTAACCTGTCAGTCATCACTAAGCATCACTAACCTGTCAGTCATCACTAACCTGTCCAGTCATCACTAACCTGTCAGTCATCAGTCATCATCACTAACCTGTCAGTTCAGTCATCATCACTAACCTGTAAGTCATCACTAACCTGTCAGTCATCACTAACCTGCAAGTCATCACTAACCTGTCAGTCATCACTAACCTGTCAGTCATCACTAACGCATCACTAATCTGTAAGTCATCACTAACCTCTCAGTCATCACTAACCTGTAAGTCATCACTAACCTGTCAGTCATCACTAACCTGCCAGTCATCACTACCCTGCAAGTCATCACTAATCTACAGGTTAGTGATGTCATCACTAATCTGTAAGTCATCACTAACCCGCAACTCATTACTAAACTGCAAGTCATCACTAACCTGTTAGTCATCACTACAGTGCAAGTCATCACCAACTTGCAAGTCATCACTAACCTGTCAGCCATCACTAACCTGCAAGTTATCCCTAACCTGTGAGTCATCACTGACCTGTAAGTCATCACAAACCTGTCAGTTCTCACTGACCTGTAAGTCATCACTAACCAGTAAGTGATCAATAATTAATCAGTTATAATCAACAAGAAAGTCATGACTAACCTGTTAATCAACCTGTCAGTCAATACAAACCTGTCATTTATCACTGACACATGTCATCACTAACCTTTAAGTCATTACTAAGCTTTCAGTCATCACTGACCTGCAAGTTATCATCAACCTGGCATTCATAACTAAATTGTAAGTCATTACTAACCTATAAGTCATCTTCAACTTGTCAGTCATCACTAACCTGT